CTTCATATTTTAAAATATTTCTTCGTAACTTTCAAAAACTCGTAGCAATTATCCATACGAAGAGAATGTATGTAGAAATTAGTTTGTAATATGAGCGGTTGCCGAGAAATAGGCAATTTTTGCATGCGTCACTTTTCAAGTTATTTTCCCTGTAAAGGAGTCAATTATTATTCGATTTTCATTTTTCTTTTTACCATTTGATGCCTTATGCTAATTTTGACTAGGTCAAACCAATTTAACATTTTCACTGTCAGCGGAAATGACATCATTTGGGCAAAAAATGTATTTTTAGCCTTTAAAAGAGAAATTTTATTCAAATGAGTCGTATTTGTTATTTTTTTAAAACTTTGATATTTGATTTCAATCAACTAATAGAATGAACCCATACGATCATATAGATATCACAAAATTGTTTCTAACTTGTTCAGTTGCTGAGAAATAGACGATTTTCAACAGGTAACTTTTCAAGGTTTTTGGTCCATAAAAGTGTCAATTATTATTCGATTTTCATAAAATTTTCAGTGCTTGATGCCTAATGCAATTTACGATTTCATACAAGTAATTTAAGATTTTCGTTATTACCGGAAGTAACGTCATTTTGGCAAAAACTGTATTTTTAGCCTTCAAAGCAGATATTTTATTCAAATCTGTCTGATTTGTAAAGTGTTTAAAATTATGATATTTGATTCCAATCAACACATACATTGAATCCACACCATCATACAGATACCAAAAAATGGTTTCTAACTTGTACGATTGCAGAGAAATGGACGATTTTCTACAAGTCACTTTTTAAGGTTTTTGGTCTATAAAAGTAGCAATTGATATTCGATTTACATAAAAAAATTTCATCATGTGATGCCTTATTCCATTTCTGATTTCATGAAACTAATTGAACTTTTTCATTATCACCGGAAGTAATGTAATTTTGTCAGGATCACTTACATGTAACACATGTATAAAATGAATTGATATTGCTAGATTTGGTTGATTCTGCTTCCATTTTATTTGATACGTACAAAGTTTGTGGATATCTGTTTATCGGTTCCATTGGTACTGGAAGTCATGAGTTCAAGGGTAACATGGCACCAAAGTGACATAAGTTCTAGGGTAACGTGGCACCAGTGAAACCCGTCATTACTGCTTCGCAGTTCTAGTTTAGATTATTATTCTTGTCATTCATCTTCTTCTTAGTATTATTATTTTTCTTTTTCTGTTTTGATTAGATCTCAGTAACTGCTTGTCGCATCTTTACGATGTCTTTGGTTTTACTGGGAAAGTGGATGTGACTTACAGGCTAAAGCTATTTTCAACGTTCTGCGACAATGCGAAATGTCCGAAATCACTGAAGTTGTCATTTTTAAAAATATTGCCATAATTTTAACCATAATCATCAGATTTTAACTTTTGATACATTTTGGCATAGCCAGAGACAGTGCACACAGCTACGCTACTTTTGATTTTTGGCAAATCTTTGTAGATATTAGGCGCCAAATTTAGGAAATTTAAATTTTAAAAAAAAAACTTTTGTTTCAGTAATTTGCATTAGCAGCCATTGGCTAATTCAGTTTTTCGGTCCTACCTAGATTAATTATTTATTGTTTGATTTGTATAAAACAAAATTCTTATTCTCCGTTTTCCAAAATGTCATTTTTTTTGTTACCGATAAAGTTTCCTGTTGGCACCAGAAGTACCACTTTTTCAAAGCAAATATTATTTTTTTCAAATCTGGTATAACTGAAAGGGTCTGCCCTTTAAAGGCACACAAAACATTGAGATCAGTTTTTTTCATTTCAATTTCGGGCTATTTCGATTAAAAGGTGTAAAATTAAGCTATTTACAACCCATTCAGCGTCTTCATATTTTAAAATATTTCCTCGTAGCTTTCATAAATTCGTAGCAATAATGCATACGCAGAGAATGTATGCGAAAATTTGTAATATGAGCAGTTGCCGAGAAATGGGCAATTTTGCACGCGCCACTTTTCGCATTATTTTGCCTGTAAAAGTGTCAATTATTATTCGATTTTCTTATCATTTTCTTTCTCACCGGAAATGTCATCATTTGGACAAAAACAAATACATGTGTTTTATTCAAATGAGTCTGATTTGTAATGTTTTCAAAATTATGATATTTGATTCCAATCAACAAACAGAATGAACCCATACGATCATACAGATACACAAAATAGTTTCTAACGTGGACGGTTGCAGAGAAATAGATTATATTCAACAAGTCACTTTTCAAGGTTTTTGGTCTATAAAAGTGTCAATCATTATTCGATTTTCATAAAAATTTTACCATGTGATCCATTATGCTATTTATGATTTTATAGAACTAATTTAACATTTTCATTATCACCAGAAGTAATGTCATTTTGGCAAAAACTATATTTTTAGCTTTCAAAACTAATATTTTTTTTCAAGTGAGTTATATAGTTATAATTCATTTAACATTATGATATTTAATTACAATTGTCATATAGATTGGATTAATACGATTTTATAGATATCCCAAAATTGCTTCTCGCATATATATTCCCTTGTCCAGAAATAATCAATTTTGTCCGGATCACTTTTTAAGATTTTTTTCGCATTTTAATTTTCCATTAGAATTTTTTCAGGATTTTTTTTTTTTTTTTTTTTTTTTTACTGACATATGTCACCCACCGCATGTTATTGCACAAGAGACAAAATAAGCGAAAATATTGATTTTGATCGAAATTGAGATTTTCACAAAAATGAGTCTATAAATATACTATCTATCGACTCAAAAGATCAAAATAGCAATAAAATATTTTAAAATGACACGGTTACATTAATACAGTGATAAAAAAAAACAGAATTGTCATTTTGGTCGCCATTTTGATAAAACAAAATGGTTGATATTGACGGATTAATTTTACTACTACGATTATCATTTTGGTCGCCATTATGAAAAACAAAATGGCGGGTATTATCGGATTTATTCTTATACTGCAATTGTTTGATGTAGCACCCCCAAAAACCCATTCAATGACATTAATAAACACATAACTTATGAAAACTCCAAAATTTGTCATTTTGGCGTCCATTTTGAAAAAAAAGATGGCGGAAATTGTCGGATCAAATTGTTCCTACAATTTTCGTCTTCAGCACCCCTGAAAACCCCTAGAAAACAATATTCAACGACAAAACAGCAAATAAATGGCTTAGTTGCTATGGGATTTTGTTTTGAAACATACCAAATCTTTAACTTGATTTTTCTCAAAACTTACTCTGGTGAGTTGGGTGGCTTTAAGCAGTCACAACTCGGTCAATTTTCGCCCGATTCAAACAAACTATACATCAAATTGAAGGTAATGAATGTGAAAATAACAATAACTCAATTTTCAAAATTTCCTCATTGCGACTCAGTATGCCATGGGGGGTCACATATGTAACAAATGTATAAATGGTGTTGATATTGCTGGATTTCATTGATTCAGCATCCACCTTATTTTATTAAAAAAGCACATGCCCAAAAAATTTTGCAACACTTTTCAGGGGATGTTACTTGGTCTAATATCTGGGCGCTCGGCACCCCTAAAACATTATATTTTACTGACATGGTGACAGGAGATAATCTGTACTACAATGTAGATGATCATGACAAAACTCTGCCTTCCTTTTGTTTGTATTATCTGAGAGCAATCTTTTCTTATCACAGTTATTTGATTCTAGATTTGTATTTCTTTGCGTGGTAATTAATGTGAAATCTTGATATGTATTACCATACTATATAAACAGGAATGATAACAATTCTTTGTATAGTTTGTTTTTATACGCCCACATTGAAATGTGGTCGTATATTGTCATCGCCCCCGTCCGTCCGTCCGGCGGCTAGAGGCTAATGTTAATATCTGATTGACTTTAAATTTATACACAGTGTTTAAGGTCTTGAGACGAAGAAGCCTATTGATTTTCAGCGATTTCCGATAATTACTGCCAGAGTTATGGCCCTTGATCACTTTGAAAAATCTTGTGGACGCTCTAGAGGCCAAAGTTAATATCTAATTGACCTTAAATTTATACACAGTGTTTGAGGTCATGAGACGAAGAAGCCTATTGATTTTCAACAATTTCCGATAATTACTGCCAGAGTTATGGCTCTTGATCACTTCAAAAAATCTTGTGGATGCTCTAAAGGCCAAAGTTAATATCTGATTGACTTTAATCCTATTGATTTTCAGCGATTTCCGATAATTACTGCCAGAGTTATGGCCCTTGATCACTTTGAAAAATCTTGTGGATGCTCTAGAGGCCAAAGTTAATATCCGATTGACTTTCAATTTATACACAGTGTTTAAGGTCATGAGATGAAGAAGCCTATTGATTTTCAGCGATTTCCGATAATTACTGCCAGAGTTATGGCCCTTGATCACTTCAAAAAATCTTGTGGATGCTCTTGAGGCTCAAGTTAATATCCGATTGAGTTTAAATTTATACACAGTGTTTGAGGTCATGAGACGAAGATTCCTATTGATTTTCAACGATTTCCGATAATTACTGCCAAAGTTATGGCCCTTAAGTTATCATCCGATTGACTTCAGATTGATACACAGAGTTTAAGATCTTGAGACGAACAAGTATATTGATTTTCAATGAATTTTTATGACTTGAACAGTTAAATCTATGATATTAAAAGCTTTGCATACAAAACGTTAGCATGGGGCAGAACTTTATAAAAACCAAACAAATTCTAATAGTTTTCTGATAATTACTTCGTGAGTTGTTGCTCTTAATCAGATTTTAGTGTATTATAAATGTTTCATTACCGAAAAAAGTAAAAATATGCGACAACCCTTGTTGACTGCCCGGACGATTTAGTTGCTGTGGGCGTATGTTTCGTTGCCGGGCAACCTTTCTTTAAACATTTTGGGGGGATTGTCTCTAAAGCAGATAAATTGCTTACCAGTTTATTTTTGTGATGATTTTCCATTTGTTTTAAAAGTCAAATTTTTTCTTCACTAATAATTGCAGGCTTCAACTGACGAAATCAACAATGCATTTCGACAACTTAGTAAAATATATCACCCAGACAAACATTTTTCACCAAACAAAAAGAAAATGGCAGAAGTTATGTTTACAAAAATAAAAAAAGCACATGAAGGTGAAGTATATATATATCATTATATTTTGTTTTAACAATTTTGATAATTGAATGAACATCTATGTATGTAAAGCAATAAATGAATTAAAGCTAATCTATGTAAGATACAAAAATATGTTCATTTGCAGATACAACCAATTTAAAGATACATTACGGGAGAATCGATAACGAGTTGGCAGTTCTCACTATAATAGTTAAAAACTAGATAATGTAAAGGCAATTTGCTGAAAATTTCATTCAGATTGATCCACTATGAACCGAGAACTAAGCGATTGAAATTTCTGCCTAGCCTCGATCATCATTACTAAAGTCAGTAAGATAAACAGCATAGTCTCAATTATCCATTTAATCATTAAATCGTAAAGGAAAGTTATGCAGTAAATCGGCTCATAATCCACCAAAAACCGCAGGCTAGCGATGCCATCTAGGGTTGATTATGGTCTGGATAGGTTAATTAATGTCTAAGATAACATTTCATGCCTAAAGAAAGACCTTCAATAGACAGATTTAGATCTTGCATAATGTATGTTTAAGTTATAAACTAAAGGTTATAAAGAATATCAACTTGCTGCTTTGATATGGAAATTTAAGTGTTATTCCAATACATCAGATCAACCAGATTAAACACATTTATTTGACCCAAGTCCAAGAGGTCCAACTCCTCTAAGATTGTTTAAGCTCAGAATTCTCAAGATTTTTATTTTAATGGTAATTTTGCTATATATTTGCAGTTTTAAATGACAAACACAAGAGAACAATTTATGATATATATGGTGAAAGTGGTTTAGAAACTGAAGGCTTAGAAGTAAGTTAATTCAAATTAGAAATATAGTCGATGGGGAGTCAAAACAATCTGATTAAAACACATATTCTATTTTGTTTCGTTTTTTATAGTTCAAAATTTCGTTTTATTTGTCTTTACTACACTAGGATCTGAAAGAGTTGTTATATTACCGGCGTTTTGGTTGAAGTGAGGGATAAAGCCAATGAAACGGTCTGTTACGGCGACTTCTTGGCATGCCATGCATGGAACTGTGGGTAAACAACTAGAAATGTCAACACTGATTGATTATTCAATGTCTGACGTCATAGGGTCAAAAGCCACATTGTACGACCCCTGACACGACCTTTAAGTACAACTTGACAGATCTTCGTATAGTGTAGGCCATCGAAAGTATAAAAAAACGAAACAAAGTATAAATCTGTATTTTTATCAGATTGGAGTCAAAAGGTCATATTTTAGTTTTGCAAAATTGTCAAAGGGAGCCAGAAATAATATAGAGGTTATAAATCAAAATGGCGTATCATAGTTTTGCGAAATTGTCCAAGAGAGCAAGAAATCATTATAGAGGTTAAGAATCAAAATGGCATATAGAGACATAACATCAAAATTTTTTATGTAACATGACATATTTTCTCAAATATTTCTGTAAAAAATGTATGTTTAAGCGTTATGACAGTATGTAGCTATCCTCACAGTATGTAGCTATCAGGCTAAATATCTCTAGTACAGAAATATTATATATCAAAGACGTACTTTGGAGTAGTGGGGGGGGGGGATTCATCTTTACCTGCTTCCGTTTCATAGATTTCACATAGTACTAGTAGAGACTCTTCTATAATACATAACTAACCATAAAATAATTACATCATTTTTGCTCTCAATATTAATTTTTTTTTTTTTTTTTTGGGGGGGGGGGGAATGCCTCGTGAAACATTTTGAAACAATATTTATAAAAACCCTGTTTTATTGGCTTTAGAAATACGACAACTAGATGGAAAGATGCGCTATTTAATTCTCATTCTGAAGATACGACCTATTGACTCCCTACGAACGATATATGCTACAATGTGGGTGTAATAGCATGTTATTCTGTAACGAAAGTCAGAGGATGTAACCTTACCACCACTCCCATTTTCGGCTGTATAAGGGTATAAAAATAATGAATAATATATTTATTTTTTTAATACTGTTTACTTTTCATAGGTTATATCAAGAACCAAATCTCCTGCAGAAATAATAGCTGAGTATGAAAGACTACAAAGAGAAAGAGAAGAGAGACGATTACAACAAAGAACTAATCCTAAAGTATGAATTTAATTAATTGGATATCAAGGATACAGTAGAATATTGTACTCCTGTTAGATTAGCCTCAGTTTAGATTATAAGCCTGATCTTTGTTTATTCAACTATTATTCATTATTACACGATACGATTTAGTATAAATATATTGGAATTACTATGTATTATGGAAGATTAGATAAAGAGCTGGCAGTTCGCACTATGATAGTTAAAGACTAGATGAAGTAAAGGGAATATGCTCAAAATTGCTTCGCCCTATGTCAAGAACCTTATTTTAAAATCTTTGTAGCCTTGATTTTAATTGTTACTGCTGTCACGATAACTAACAAAGTCTCAATTAACCATTTTTGCGAATAATCATCAACAGACATTGAACAACAGATCGTATTCAAATCCAATGAAAATCGGACAGATAAGATGGCATCGAGAGTTGATTATGGTCTGGATAAGTTGATTAATGTCTATTTAATAATTTAGATAACATTTCAGGCCTAAAGAAAGACCTGCAATAGGCAGATTTACATCTCGCATAATGTATGTTTAAAGGAGCAGTCCAGCAGTTGCAGATTCTTTATATTGTAATGTATAGAACTAGATTGAACCGTGGTTAAACCTAGGTCCAAATCATTCAGTCTGTAATTAACAAATTATAAAGGCAACTGTTATTCACTGTAATCAAACAAATCACTCCATATCTTGTGATAATCTTTATTTCAATGATATTCTTAAGGTATTCACCTTCAGTTACATGTTTACAAAATACCAGTGTAGCTTTTACAGCATTCACACATGGTTTTGTTTTCAAACAATGATAGACAGTTACCCGGATGCTGATGTCTTAAATGTGAGATGAGTTATTAAGAATATACAATATGAAGAAACCTGCCACAGTTGGACATCTTCTTTATGTAATATCTTTGAACATATAATATATAATATAAAGTATTTTTTCTTCCATAGGGAACAGTTTCAATAGCATTGAATGCTACTGATCTATTTGATCGATATGGTGCTGAACCAGATGCAGACTATGAGTAAGTATCAAGCTGTAAAATAGATATGGAACATTCCAAACATTTTTATAAAAGTCCAACTTTCCTTTCTGTTTAGTATGATTAAAATGATTATTACATGTTTCGGACCTTTGGTCGAAACGCATTTTGTTTTTATTATTTTTGGAGGTGGGTAGGGAAGGGGGGGGGATTTAGTCAGAGTTTGAAGTCAAACCTGTGCATGGTGCAAACATTCTGCCGACGTAGATGTAGTTGGACTCCGTGGATCTATTTATTAAATATAAATTGGATTATTTTTGACAAACAGGAAGTGTTTTACGGATGGGACATAAAATAATCTCAGATTGTCCATATCTTGGTTATTTCTCAATGGATCTTCTTCCGGTTTGCATTCTTTAGACAAATCTTCTTTGGGCTCTGACTGACATTTTTTCTAAATTTGGAAGTTCTTCATCATTTTTTCGACATTCAAGATGGCGTATCTCTATCACTATTTGAGGTATCAAGTTGAAACTTGGTAGGAATAAGGAATATTCAAAAATTTTATGACGGCTTCCGGAAACTTCCAGAAATTACTGAGACCTTCCGATTTTTTCCGAGCATGAATAGTTCTCTCCAATTTAAAAATAGACCAAAAATGGCATATGGTGGTGTTAGCCCCAGATATTATCTTTCATTTTTAGAGACCTTGTGTAGTACTATCGGACTTCTTTCCTTGTTGTGTTTGTTTTCTTCGTGATCGTAATTACACTACAGAATAAATGGTTCTTACAACTTTATTGTTAAGCTGTAATGGCTTGAAGGTTCCTCGTTCTCAATAATAATAGCTGCTTGGAATATCTGGGTGAGCTCTGACCAATCTCGCTCAACACCCTGTTTCATAAACCCCTAATTTCTGCACGTCTTAGATAGCCTTGAGTTAATTCCCATCCCAAATATGGAATAAACCTCTTTATTTCACAAGGCCAGAGAAAGAAACATTACCTTATTTGGTCAACCAACCATAGGTCAATAAACAGATATAATTTGATGGATATTTTGATAATGGTTATGATTTTACCAAAATATCACTGGGTTTTTTATGTATAAATATATATTCCCGTTCATTAAGTATGTGTGATTTGACTCTATAGACAGAGTAAAGTAACAATTTTTCAAAGAACCAATGTTGTCTTAAGGACCAAAGTGCTTTGCTACACTTGTTCCATAACATTTTCAACTGTTTGCCCGCCGTATTGGATTTTACAAAAAATCTTCAAATCGTTATATTCTGCCGCCATTTTGATTCCAATTTTTTAAAACATTTTTTTCTTTTGAACCTACTCCAAATGGCAACAATTCTTGGGGAGCCGATTTTTGAATTTCGATTTCGATACTTCCAGTTTCACTTTGAATTTTGTTTGAGTTTTCAACTTCTTTCTGGTGACCTAACCTTTTAATGGCCCTTGACTGTTGTATATATGATGATCCTCATATCTACTAACAATTTATATCAAAAAGTTTAGTCTTGAAGTATAACTTTCAAAAAAAAAAGATCAGTTTCTCCATAAAATTTATATTTGATTACCAGAGCATGACACCAGCTTATATTTTAGCCATTTCTAAGGCTATGATTCTGATGTTAAAGTAATTTATATGATGTGTATATTGCAGAAGTGATATTAATATAGAGATAAGTAGTATGAGTATATTCCAATCTGTTGAATGTCCACTAACAGTTAAAGACACAATTTTAATAGGAGGTTCTTTAATGACACAAAATGGTAATGGAGATGGAACATTTGTTACAACATGGAGAAGATTAACATCTCATAAAGGCTGGGCAGAGGTCTTTTTTTTTATTTTACAACATTTCTGTAAAATTTAACATGTGAAATAATATCTCTGTATATTGTTTTATATTTGATTCTTGGTCTCAAAATGATCTAATTGCCATTAATCATAAGGCCTTTCATGCCAGGTTCTTTTATTTTTCTCTAAATGATTTTTATTTTATGGTCTTGAAGGAAATCTTGATCATTATTTAGTATTTAATGTGAGAAAAATATTAGAAATATTGTGCAAAAGTAAAATAGATTAAGTATGTAATTCAAATTAGAACATTGTTGAACTTAAAGAGGCATTATGGGAGATTAGATAATAGTTATAATAGTTAAAATATAGATGACGTAAATAGAATATGCTGAAAATTTCAGTCAAATTGGTCCACTCTGATAGGCTAGCCTCGATCATCCAATCTGCTAAATATCGCAGGCTAGCGATGGCATTGAGAGTTGATTATGATCTGTATAAGTTAATAAATGTCTAATTAATAATTTAGATAACATTTCAGGCCTAAAGAAAGACCTGCAATAGACAGATTTAGCTCTTGCATAATGTATGTTTAACCTTAAAGTTGCAAGTATTGCACATTTTATTTGTATTATTATTATTATACACTTTCTTATTTTCTTTTGTACTATAATTATAGGTTGAAATTGCAGCAGGTAATAATATGAATGGCAGTATTAAAGGATTTCGGCAACTATCTAAAAGATGGTATGTGTGTTTGTAATTTACAAGATGTTTCTTTTAAAAAAGTATTTTGCTACAGAACTTTTTTTGTAAAAATAAAGCATTTGTCTTTCCTTGACCTTATTGCAAAGTATTCTTATGGTAATTATATAAAAGTAAAGATTTGTAACAAAAGACTATCTGAAGATAGAATACTGAACAGAGGTAGAATATAAATAGTCAATGCATGGTTGTCAGGTCTAATTTAACATTTAAATAATATCATTTTATTTTGAAATTTATATGCAATATACAAAAATAGTTGTTAAAATTATTGTTAGGATTATTAAAATAAATAATCATGGTATTAAGATTACTAGAATGGTTTATATTTATAAAGTACAATTAATTAGTAAATGACATGTTATACAAAATATACAATAATAATATAATTTGAATTAAAATACTATCTGCTACTATTAGTAATGCAGGAATCAATTGCACAAACTGTAAACTGTTATGAGAGCTAACTAAAAAGTTTATGTCTTTGAGAAAAATTTGTACACCCTCCTGGGAAATATAAAGACAAGTCTTATAGGGTCATATTTTTTAAAAATGAAATGGTTTATTTCAGCTATGGAACAGTAGTAGGGTCATTACAGTCAACAAGAAGAGGAATTCGACCATCTATTGTATCAAGTGAGTAGATATGTTTTTATACATCCACATTTAATGTGAGACATAAAAATTAACAGCAGATTATGATATAAAAGAAACATGATTGTGTGCTATTAATTTTTGTGTCTCGACTTACCTGGATATAAAATACATCATTTGTCAAGAGTGATCCCATCAAGCCTTTGTGTTGCCTCTGTCTATTGATTACAAGTTTCTCACATTTAATGTCAACATATACTGTAGTCACCACTTTCATTTGGTGTCTGTCCCAAATTTGTTGTAATCGATCTACAATTGATTTTTTCTAAAATTGCATGGATTGTTCATTTTAGGCATAAGGAACAACCCTATTGTAATCCACAATTTATCGGCTGCATATAGAGGAGTTATCCCCCCCCCCCCTTTTTTCGTTCAAATTTATGAAATATACTGAGCGCCATTGAAAACGCATCACTTAGTTTTTCGTATAACAAAATGATCCTGTAAACATATCTTATTTATTTTGCTTCTTACTGTGAACAATATTCAAATGGGAACACATCAATAACAACACATTTGTACACTTATGGATGTTTAATCTGTAATCAAGGGTACAAAGTCAGAGGGGTCAAAACCAAAAGTACGACACAGATGTCAGTAGCGCGTGTGTCCTCCACGAGCCATCATCACAGTAGGCTACAGCATTAACGCGACCCCTGCAAATGTGTAGGGCGGTCCGGTGATGAAATGTGAAGCCTCCCCACACCATTACACTTCCCCCACCCCATCGATCCCTTTCGAAGACGCAGCAGTCTGCAAGACGTCTCCACACACGTTGACGGCCATCAGCGTGATAAAGATGAAAGCGACTCTCATCACTGAAGAGCACACTTTGCCAGTCTACTCGTCTCCATGTCTGGTGTCCTTGAGCCCATATCAAATGCCGCTGACGATGATGATCCCTGGGGATAGCTCCAACATAAGGTCGTCGTGCACGGAGTCCTACTTCTCTTAGACGACGTCTTACGGTGTTGGCACTTACTGGTACTTGTCTTCCGACGACTGCTGCACCTGTTCGAGTCGCTGGGCGGAATCTGTCACGCAGATGAGTGACCCGGATGTAGCGGTCTTGAGTCTGAGTTGTAACGCATTGTGGACCAGGACGTTGACGGTCACGTGTTGATCCAGTAACTCGAACATGTTCCACCAACCTTACAATAGTGGACTGATGACAATTGAAGTGTCTGGCAATAGCACGTGTAGACATGCCAGCCCTGGACATTCCCATGGCTTCATTCCGTTGATTTTCAGTAAGTCTCTAGAATCTCTAGCTCGATTCCTTCACACGTCCAACAACAAATTACGACAGATTGACGTTTCACAGTTCATGTACTGCACATTAAGTTGAAAACATGCTTTTAAAGGGCTCACACACAATGCTGCACGTGAATATTGGGTTTTTCATGTGCATCTCGTGCAATTTTTTTTTTGCACACGGGCCGATATTTTTTGTGTTTGGGAGCATTGTGTGAAACAATAGTTCAAAGTATTGCATAATATTATACATACAAAACCACCTAGTAACAAAATATATGGGAAAAAAAAGTGATGCGTTTTCTATGGCGCTCAGTATATAAATAAGATAATTTCAGAGTTGTTGATAGAATTATGGGTTGACAAGTCATGTCTATGTTCTTTCATATTGGAGTGAAGAGATGTGGTCTGATAAAATAATTGTATAACTTCTTTTTAATCTATTATAACATATGTATCCAATGCATGTTTAATATATTTTCTTTTTAATGTAGAATCAGATCAATAGAATAGTACATGTGTATAATATTATATTCTGTGTGAATAAGGAAATCTATAGCTATACTCTCTAATTATGGAAACCAGATAAATGATATCTTTAGACATTGGCTTTTGTGATATGAAAGATTTTTTGTTTCAGTGTTAGCGTATCAGTTTGATCGTGGGTTGCAAGGTCGTATGACATTTAATGCAAGTACACCATCATCTGTAACATCAGTACTAAGTTATGATAATGAAAAAAATCGGGCTGTTTTTACTATTCAGGTCTGTTCAAAATCATAGTTATATTATACCCACATTTAATGACCTACATCCTTGCATCTGTTGTCATTTTGCGTTAAGATTCTGCAGGAATTTTTCTTTTGTAAAAAACGCAATACTTTCTACGCCCACATGGAAATGTGGTAGTATATTGCAGTCTGACGGTCCATCCATCGTCCGCACTTTCTTGTGAACACTCTACAGACTACATTTATCATTTGATTGTTTTGAAATTGATATACTGTATGTTGTTAACATTACCGAGATGAAGATCCCTATTTAATTTCAATAATTCTGTTAATTTCTTCTGGTGTTATGGCTCTTGTTTTACTTTATTGCACCATGTGAACACTCATAACAATAAAAGTTATCATCCGATCTGTATGTAATTTATATGCATCAATTAAATTAGGGAAACGAAGAAGCCTTTTGAATTTCTGTTTATTAATTCTAAAGTTATGGCCCTTGTTTCACTTTGTTGAACCATGTGAACGCTCTAACAACAAAAGTGATCATCCGATCTGTATGAAGTTTAACGGCATTATTTAAATTAGTAAGACAAAAAATCTTATCAAATTTGAACAATTTCTGTAAATTACTTTCAGTGTTTATTCCCTTGTTTCAGTTTGTAGAAGCTTTTGAACCCTCAAACAACAGAATTTATAATCTGATCTGTATGAAATGGTCTTGTAAATGCCCCCCCCCCCCCCACCATTACCTACAAATGAATAAATATACGATAACCCTTATCAACCTATCTTTCTGATTAGTTAGAACCTTTAGGAATTTATGGATACTGGCTGATAGTCTGATAATTATGATACGTAATATAACAATTACTATTCTATAATTATGATACGTAATATAACAATGACTATTTTATAATTATGATACGTAATATCAATAATACTTTTTACGATTACTATCAAAATTTATATAACCTGTAAGAAAATATCTAGTTCAATTGGTAACAAAAATTAATAATGTTACCAAAGAGGTCATTTATTTCTAATTCTTTTTCAGCTTGGTGTACCTAATACTTTCATTTCCGCAAGTTATTGCAGAAAATTTTTGGAGGATGATGCTAAACTTCGTGTAGCTATTAAGTAAGTTAGTTTTATTCACCGACCAAAAATGGAGCTGCAATGGCTCAGAGAGTAAGATGCAGGCTTGCTAGCCTAGATGTCCTGGGTTTGCTCCTTTGTTGACCAAAACAGCTGTCTAGTCGTGTACACATTGATATGCACATTAAAGAACCTTTGACAGTTACCGCTGCCTGGGGCAAAATTTCACTCTTAGCACACTTCATGGCATATGCCCATCTTCATTAGCCCAGTCGGTGAAAAAAGGAGGACATATAATGCCTACACCTTCTTCAGCCAAACATCACACTCTTTTGGAATTTAGTAAACAGGTCTCCAAATTTAAAGGCTAAAATAATCCCTGAAAATCTCAAGCCATTTTGTTTATATAGTTCCTACTATTGTTTATTTAAAGATTTGGTACATTAGGAATGATAGGAGAGTACGGATTCGAAAAGAAAATAACACAGTTCAGTATTCTTGGAGCCACCATGGTAGTTGGTCTACCTGTTGGAGTTATGCTAAGAATTAAGTAAGTTTTATTTTGGTTATTTAGTGATATTAGTTTTTTATTTAAATCAATCGGTGTGAAAGAAGGATTGTCAATAATATTTTCAGAACTTTTCCATCTCTTGTTGACTATATAGACACAAATCCTTTTTAAAAAAAAAATGCACTGAGAAAGACATAAGAAAGAGTGCATGTGAAATTGGCTAATGCTTGATGCTTTATAAGATAATTAATTATTCATGCATTGAGGAATTGACCCACTAGTGATTAAATCCTGTTGATAATCTACAGGTAAAATAGACTTTATGAAAGGAGTATGATTATGAGTATTATTGTAAATCCTATCTTATCCTTTACTTATTATTCATATCATTATTATTTGTGTTTCAGATTATTACGAGGCAATCAAACATTTAATTTTCCTATATATTTATCTGAATCTCTATCACCAAGTGCAGTATTTTATGGAACTGTTGTACCTGCTGCTGTATATTTCGTTGTTAAAAAACTTATAGTGAATCCTTTCTTAAAACAACAAAAGGAAAGGTAGGTCACCATAAATCATATAGAATACAACAAAACAAAACTATACAGTTACATGGGACAACCAGTGATTGTTGTCCCATATAACTGTATAGTTTTGTTATGTTTCCAATTGCTAAATGCCACTAAAGGATCATATAGAATACAATTTTAATAAAACAAATCTGTGATCTAGTACGATAATATCATGTAAGGTAGACATAATAAGATATTACTGTGATAAGATAATGACATAAACTCAAGTGAGATCAACAGCGAGTCATGTCTAGTCAATTTTATTGGAGACCACTGATTTTACTGATTCTATAACTGCTACTAATTTTGTCTTCTACTAACATCAGTCGTGAGGGATTGGCCAATGAAACAGTCTGTTACGGCTAGTTTTTGGCATGAGGTGCACGGAAATGTGGATAACCTACTAGAAACATCAACGTTGATTGGTTAATCAAATGTCTGATGGCATAGGGTAAAAAGCCGCCCGTGTGACCTCTGACACGACCTTCCACTACAACCGGTCAAATCTTTATGTGGAAGAAACCTTCAAAAGTATAAAAAAATCGAAACAAAATAAAGATCTGTATTTTAATCAGATTACTTTTTTATGATATATAATTACCAGGATTAAAGGAATAAGACTTGAATGCAGGAACACAATCATATCCCTTAAAGGCGTTTATTGAAAACTACATTATTTTGTCTTTTTCACTTTCACAAATAGGAATAGACATCCTTACGGTTTAGAAATAATAGTTGTTTGTCTGATAACAAGAATTTTAATTAGTAATGATACATTTTTTTTTAGATGATTGAATAATCTACCCACATAGAATAGAAGTTGAAAGGCTTTTGCTTACAGAACGTTTTTCATAGCTTTAAGTTGATGCACAGTGTTCAAGTGCAGTTAAAATAGCTCCTTTTCAATAGACTTTTAAAACTCATTAGAATTCAAGGGCATCCAAAATACAAAAAACAAATCAAAAGTTTCATCTCCCTTTAATAATCCAATCACCAATGTAGTGCTTCAAATGATATATTTTTTCTGCTTATTAGTGAGATAGAAAGAAAGAGAAATGAACATGCAGAAAAACTTTTACAAAGAAAGAGAGAGGCACAATCTGCTGTAAGTATTATATTGGACTAGATCAAGTGCATTGATTAAACAGGCATTATGCCAGAGGTAAATCTGCTTATTGCAGATCTTTCTTTGGGCCTTAAATGTTATATAAATTATTAATTACGATTAATGGTTGATGATTTAACGTAAAAATGGATAATAAGGACTTTGTTTATTATCGTAACAATGGTAGCAATGACAATCGAGGCTACACTGTTCTTGTAACGGCGATAACTAGGCTCAGAGTTAGTAATTTGACTGAGATTTTCAACATATTCCCTTTCCAATATCTATTTTTTAAATATTATAGCAAGAACCATCAGCTCTTTATCTAATCTTACATGATATGATGGTTTACACCAGTAATCATATGAATATATACTAAATATTGTGATATTCCATTTGTTTTATAACTATTTAAGGTTGAGTTAATGAGTGAAACTGTAGAAAGAATTATTGATACGGAAGAGAAAAGAAATGGCTTAATTATTATAAAAGGTTTATATGGTAAACTAGTAGAAGATACATCAGAGTATGTACATTATTTTGTTTTAATAGCAAACATTTAGTATTGTCATTGTTGTGTTTGTTCTCGTACAATGCCTCTCAACTTAGCAATGCCTCTCACCAATGTTAGCAAGTTATAAGTATTTTCTCCACAAGATATGAATTTCTTTTTTTTAAAACCCTTTGCTTTAAAGCAGGGTTGTTTAACGGAATGGTATAACACATTCACATTAGATCATTAGGTCTGCTGTTGAGTCAAGTAGTGTGGTTTTCAATTCTCAGCTTGTACGTGACAAGAAGTAGTGTTGTCTGTCCAACCTCATGGGTTTTCTCCAGGTCCTCCTGGTTTCCTACCACTGCTAAAGACCCCTACACGCAAGCGAATTATTGAAATAAATTAAACCACATGTTGGTACCAAAATGACATAGTTCATGCCGAGTGGATGTTAAACCCCACTTCTCTCTCTCTCCTTTGCTTTAACCATTTTTTCACAACCTTTGCGTCCATATTTTACCAATCATCAATATTTATCTAAATGAACACTGCTGTAATAAGTATAAACTTGTATATAATCACTATTGAACCAGTTAAACAACAGGTATTGTACAGTAATTAAGTTATTATTCTACACCAGATTAAAACTGATTTGATGTATAAAATAAAAGGAAACTATATATTATTATTATTATTTTAGAGCTAATGATGATGGTTGTATAGACGTAACTATACCATTACAAGCTACAGTTAAAGATTCTAAACTTATATTACCAGATAATTCTACTAAGGTTAGTAGAACATTCCTCATAAATATACCAAATCCTGTAGAATTACAAGAAATAATTATCAACATATGCCTGTATGAAATAGTTAATCAATCAGATCTAATATTGTCAAAAGATGTCGCATTTTTAAACCACAGGATAATAATTTGCCATATCTTGGACTCGAATAGCTATAGTTCTGTTATATACTATATTGGATGATGATTACTCTACAAATGTATATATATATATAAGGTTTGTTAGGAGTATATAAATATATATTATGTTTGTTAATTTGTAGAGTTGTGTACCAGGATTTTATGATCCATGTATAGGAGAAGAAAAGAGTTTATATATAAGATATAAATTTAGGAATCGTATACATCAAGTCACGTTACTAGATAATGAACCAATTAGATTGCCACAACAAAGTAAGTTAATATCTTTGATAAAGGCCAATGCACACAGTGCAGTTTTTCTTCATTTCAATTTATTATTTCATGACAAAAGGTCTATAATAGTAAGTGCAGGATGACTGCTCTATACACAAACAAAAACCAAAAGTGTAATTAATTCATAATGTGTCAGCATCATTCAACTGTATAGTTGACATTGTAAATGCTTTTAAATTGTTTTCATGACTTTCAGAGCATTTGGTAAAGGATGAATTACCTTCAACTAGTATGAGTTACAGGTCGTGACAGTGATTATTTCTAGTTATACAAACAATGAAGTCTAGAAAATACCAGCATGGAAGTGGAGAATATTATGTTAGTGCTATTATGATGGATAAAGTCAAGTGATATTAATATAAAGATATACGTATATATAAAGTCATGTGGATGTGTTATTCATAAAGTGTAGAATTCTACTGTTAACTGTGCAGCAGGTGGATAAAAAAAATTGAAACAGCTGATTTTATCTGTTTGTCAACCATGCTTAAAATTTGATTTTTTGTCCATTTGTTTGGAAAATTTGTCCATTTGGTTGGGAAATGAACAAGGAAAGGTAATCTTAAGTTTGAAGATTTGACAGTAAATGCCCAACTATCCAGATAGAGATCTCAATCATGTGACAGGGAATTCAGGAAAAAATCCTATTTTTAAAGATTAAATGGTTATTTTTATAGTTTGGTTGGTAAATGTTCAAAATAAATTTGATTTTATCTGGATTGGACAATTGAGAAGTGTAATAATCAGATTTAAATTAGTGGATTCATCAAAATCAATGTTTGTTAATTTAAAAAAAAAAAACAGTTCAGGGAATCAATTCCATTATCATGTCTAAAAATAAGGTTATTTGAACAACATAGAAATTGATACCACCTTAATGTTATTCACTGTAAAAGTTCACGGATTAATGCACTGTCAGTTCATTTTCCATGTTCATGAATCAATGTTAGAAAGTTTAATTAAAGAAGGTTGTGTGTGTGTGTGACGTTTGGAGGATAGTAGGAAACTAAAGTGTACCCAACAAGAAGGGGGGGGGGCTTTTTTCGACTTTGCAACTGAAAGCAACTGGCATTTTGGCAACTAGGAGCAACTGAATGCAACTGAAAAAAGTTGACGTTTCCATGGAAAAAACATCACATGATAAGAGACATGTGTCATTTGACTTTATAAATAAACAAAATGGAAGCGAACGAAGACACCCTCTTTTCAAATGTTGATGATGTCGACAATAATCTATTATTAGAATTATGGCAAGACCGACCATTCGCCATTTTGTTGATCGTGTGATGAATAAATTAACAGTTCCGAGTCAATATGAGCACTCCGAATTCAGTTGCTCTCAATTGTCCTCGGTTGCTGGCGTGATTGACACAAGCACACTTGCAACTGACTGGAACTAGTTGCAAAGTTGACAGCCTACTTAAATGGCTAATCCCGATATTTATTGGAGAATAAAACTGCTTAATTTTGTGTTAAAATCCCTTAAAATCCTCTAGCTAAGGGCCGAGCAACTAACTCAATATTTGTGATAAGTTTTCAAACAACTTAAACCCGTCAGTCTTCATATGGAAATGGAGACCGGTGTACCAAGCTGTATTATGCGGTGTCTGGATAAAACCAGACTTTTATTTTATAAAAATAATGTGTAGGTGAAATTTACCTTTCGTTATCAAGTAGAGCACATGGGTCATTCACTATATAGACCTCTCAAGGAATGGGAATCGATTATCAGGTCACCCAACGAAAAAACTGCCCCAAAATCTTAAAAGGGTTACGTGTCCGGATAAGCAGTTTTGACGTTCACGTCCAAACGGCTCAATATTTTGAGCTGGAATTTTGAGAGAAGGTAAATACACCATTCCTCTATATTTTGGCGCTTAAATTTCATACGTACTCTGACTTTTATTTTTGAGACTCTCTTGAAATCGGGATAGTCCCTTTAACATTGCAAATCAGGAATTCATGACATAATATGTGCAGATAATTGAAATCAGTAGAAAAGTAGCTGGGGAGCTAAAAAAAAAAAAAAAGGCTCTGTTTAATTTGAACATTTCATGTATATTAGCATGATAAATTTGTTTTTTAAAGTGAGAAAATGATTGAATAAAAACCTCACAATTGTCATTAACTATCAATAAATACATGTAGTTCAGATGTGTGTAAAATGATCTTAGATATTGATACATATATTTTATGTATAAAATTATGGAAGTATGTTGTTGATTATAGTTATTAGTTATAGAAGTAGAGCTTGTTATGTACATGTTATTTGTAAATAATACTGTTTGAAATAGAAAAATAAAGTTATTTACTTTTCAAATTGAATATACAGGTATTTTTATTGCATATTGGTTAAAGTCAATTTAAAGGCGCTAAATCACTTTAATTTTTGTCTGAATTAAAGTCGGTTTGTTTGTTATCCTGCGCCGAACAAAGTTAGGGAGGGATATTGAAATGGGTTTCGTCCATCCGTTCCGATTTCGTTTCCAGAGCATATCTCTTAAACTGTTCAAAATATCTTTTTGAAACTTTGTAACACATCAACCTATTACAGTAGTTGTGCCTGTTGCTATTTAGGAATTTCTTTTTTGTGTTTCCATGGAAACGTATCTTGTTTCCAGAGAATATCTCATAAACCATTCAAGATATCTTCATGAAACTTTGTACAACATCAACCTATTTTAGTAGTTTTGCCTTTTGCTATTTAGAAATTTTTTGGATTTATATTTTTTGTGTTTCCATGGAAACAAATTTGACTTACTTTTTGGGGGTACAATTTTGTTTCCGAAGCATATCTCATAAACCATGGGGATGGGGGGATGGCCAAATGGTTAGCGTGTGCGCTCTGTATCATAAGGTCTGTCATTGACTTTCCCCAGTTGTATATGACAAGGAGTAGGGTCGCCTGTCCAACCTCGTGGGTTTTCTCTGGGTCCTCCGGTTTGCTCTCACTGCTAAAGACCGCTATGCGCAAGCGAATTACTGAAATAAAATTGAACCATGTGTTAGTCCCGAAATGACCTAGTTTGTGTCAAGTGGATGTTAAACCCCATTTCTCGCTCTCTCATAAACCATTCAAGATATCTTCATGAAATTTTGTACAAACATCAACCTATTATAGTAATTTTTGCCTACTGAAAATTTGGATTTTCTCGGATTTAATAATTTTTGTGTTTTCATGGAAACAAATTTGACTTAGTTTTTGATGTACAATTTTGTTTCCAGAGCATATCCCATAAACCGTTAAAGACATTTTTATCAAACTTTGTACACCCATCAATGTATAACAGTTGGTGCGCCTTTTACTAATGAGGAATTTCTTGGATTTGTATTTTTTGTGTTTTCATGGAAACAAATTTATTGTTTTTGGTGTACAATTTTGATTCCGGAGCATATCCCCTAAACCATTCAAGATATCTTCATGAAACAAACATCAACCTATTATAGTAGTTGTGCCTTTTGCTAATTTGGAATTTCTCGGATTTAAGCATTTTTATAAGCCCACATTATATTGTCGTCGCCCCTGTCCGTCCGTCGGTCCACCTTGTATACACTCTAGAGGCTTAAGTTAATATCCAATTGAAATTAAATTTATACACAGTGTTAAAGGTCATGAGACGAAGAAACCTTTTGATTTTCACCAATTTCCGATAATTAATGTCAGAGTTATGGCCCTTGATCACTTTGAAATATCTTGTGGACGCTCTAGAGGCTAAAGTAAATATCTTCTGGAGTTATGGCCCTTGTCATCGGATGTGTATGAAATTAATATGCATCATTAAAATTAGTGACATGAAGAAGCCTATTGAATTTCAGCAATTTCTGTCAATTACTTCTAAGAGTTATGGCTCTTGTTATACTGTGTTGAAAGACAAAAGTTATCATCAGATCTGTATGAAATTTATAGCATTATTTAAACTAGTAAAACCTAAAGGCCTGTCGAATTTCAACAATTTCTGTAAATTACTTCCAGGGTTAAAGATACATTATGGGAGATAAGATAACGAGATGGCAGTTCTCGCTATAATAGTTAAAGATAGGTTCCCAGGCAACGAAACATACGCCCACAGCAGCTAAATCGTCCGGGGAGTCAACAAGAGTTGTCGCATATTTTTACTTTTTTCGGTAATTAAACATTTATAATAAATTAAAATCTGATTAAGAGTAACAACTAATTAAGTAATTATCAGAAAACCATTAGATGTTCTGCCCCATGCTAATGTTTAGTATACAAAACTTATAACATCATGGATTTAGTTGTTCAAGTCATAAAAATTCATTGAAAATCAATATACTTGTTCGTCTCAAGACCTTAAACTCTGTGTATCAATCTGAAGTCAATCGGATGATAACTTTAGCCTCTAGAGCGTCACAAGATTTTTCAAAGTGATCAAGGACCATAACCTCAAACACTGTGTATAAATTTAAAGTCAATCGGATATTAACTGTAGCCTCTAGAGCATCCACAAAATTTTTTGAAGTGATCAAGGGCCATAACTCTGGCAGTAATTATCGAAAATTGTTGAAAATCAATATGATTCTTCGTCTCATGACCTCAAAGTCAATCGGATATTAACTGTAGCCTCTACAGCATTAACAAGATTTTTTGAAGTGATCAAGGGCCATAACACTGGCAGTAATTATCAAAAATCGCTAAAAATCAATAGACTTCTTCGTCTCATGACCTTAAACACTGTGCATAAATTTAAAGTCAATTGGATATTAACTTTTGCCTCTAGAGCGTCCACAAGATTTTTCAAAGTGATCACTGGCAGTAGTTATCGAAAATCGCTGAAAATCAATAGGCTTCTTCGTCTCATGACCTTAAACATTGTGTATAAATTTAAAGTCAATCGGATATTAACTTTGACCTCTAGTGCGTCCACAAGATTTTTCAAAGTGATCAAGGGCCATAACTCTGGCAGTACTTATGAGAAATCACCGAAAATCAATAGGCTTCTTCGTCTCATGACCTTAAACACTGTGTATAAATTTAAAGTCAATCGGATATTAACTTTTGCCTCTAGAGCGTCCACAAGATTTTTCAAAGTGATCACTGGCAGTAGTTATCGAAAATCGCTGAAAATCAATAGGCTTCTTCGTCTCATGACCTTAAACATTGTGTATAAATTTAAAGTCAATCGGATATTAACTTTGACCTCTAGTGCGTCCACAAGATTTTTCAAAGTGATCAAGGGCCATAACTCTGGCAGTACTTATCAGAAATCACCGAAAATCAATAGGCTTCTTCGTCTCATGACCTTAAACACTGTGTATAAATTTAAAGTCAATCGGATATTAACTTTTGCCTCTAGAGCGTCCACAAGATTTTTCAAAGTGATCACTGGCAGTAGTTATCGAAAATCGCTGAAAATCAATAGGCTTCTTCGTCTCATGACCTTAAACATTGTGTATAAATTTAAAGTCAATCGGATATTAACTTTGACCTCTAGTGCGTCCACAAGATTTTTCAAAGTGATCAAGGGCCATAACTCTGGCAGTACTTATCAGAAATCACCGAAAATCAATAGGCTTCTTCGTCTCATGACCTTAAACACTGTGTATAAATTTAAAGTCAATCGGATATTAACTTTAGCCTCTAGAGCGTCCACAAGATTTTTGGGAGTGATCAAGGGCCATAACTCTGGCAGTAATTATCGGAAATCGCTGAAAATCAATAGGCTTTTTCATCTCATGACCTTAAACACTGTGTATAAATTTAAAGTAAATCGGATAATAACTTTAGCCTCTAGAGCGTCCACAAATTTTTAAAAGTGATCAAGGGCCATAACTCTGGCAGTAATTATCGGAAATCGCTGAAAATCAATAGGTTTCTTCGTCTTATGACCTTAAACACTATGTATAAATTTAAAGTCAATCGGATATTAACTTTAGCTTCTAGAGTGTCCAAAAGATTTTTCAAAGTGATCAAGGGCCTTAACTCTGGCAGTACTTATCAGAAATCGCCGAAAATCAATAGGCTTCTTCGTCTCATGACATTAAACAATGTGTATAAATTTAAAGTCAATCGGATATTAACTTTGGCTTCTAGAGCGTCCACAAGATTTTTGAAAGTGATCAAGGACCATAACTCTGGCAGTAATTATCGGAAATCGCTGAAAATCAATAGGCTTCTTCGTCTCATGACCTTAAACACTGTCTATAAATTTAAAGTCAATCGGATATTAACTTTAGCCTCTAGAGCGTCGACAAGATTTTTTGAAGTGATCAAGGGCCATAACTCTGGCAGTTATTATTGGAAATCACTGAAAATCAATAGGCTTCTTCGTTTCATGACCTTAAACACTGTGTATAAATTTAAAGTCAATCGGATATTAACTTTAGCTTCTAGAGTGTCCAAAAGATTTTTCAAAGTGATCAAGGGCCTTAACTCTGGCAGTAATTATCGGAAATCGCTGAAAATCAATAGGCTGCTTCGTCTCATGACCTTAAACACTGTCTATAAATTATCGAAAATCGCTGAAAATCAATAGGCTTCCTCGTCTCATGACCTTAAACACTGTGTACAAATTTAAAGTCAATCGGATATTAACTTTAGCCTCTAGAGCGTCCACAACCAATTGTGGACGCCGGACCGACGGACGGACAGGGGTGACGACAATATACGACCACATTTCAATGTGGGCGTATAAAAACTAGATAGTGTAAAGGTAATTTGCTGAAAATTTCAGTCAAATTGATCCACTATGAGCCGAGAAAGAAGCGGGTGAAATTTTGGCATAGTCTCGGTCATCATTACTAAAATCATTATTATAAACAGCTTAGTCTCGATTATCCACTTTCATTGATTTAATTATCAACGGCCGTTAGCGGCATATAGGAATCTAATCCAGCCAACATCGAAGGCTAGCCTTGACATCGAGAGTTTATTATGGTCTGGATAAGTTAATTAATGTCTAATTGATAATTTAGATAACATTTCAGGCCTAAAGAAAGACATGTAATAAGCAGATTTTGCTCTTGCATAATGCATGTTTAATGCACTTGTTTCAGTTTGCAAACCTTGTGAACCTTCAAACGACAACAATTATAATCTGATCTGAATGAAATTGTCTTGTAAATCCCCCTTATTACCTACAAAAGAATAAATATGCCACAACCCTCTTTGATGTGCTCAGACGATTTAGCCGCTCTGGGCGTATGTTTCGTTGCCTGGCAACCTATCTTTGTGTTTGTTGGAAACAGATTTCTCTGTTATATGATTTTTGAGTTTTGATATATAATTTAGTGTATAATTATTATTCTATAGCATATCTCAGAAACTGTTCAAGATACCTTTTTATACGCCCACATTTTCATGTGGG